TTCCCCTCCCATGGCCCAGCCCTGCCAGCCCAAAGCAAGGCTTTCTTGATTTGTTTGCCCAAGTCCTGGTGGCTTCGTCCTGCCAAGCTTGCTCCTGCAGTGGGGACAGCTGGCTGCACCCAACCTGAACCTGCCGGTGCTTCTCAGGTAGAGAAGGGTTGGAGACTAGCAGAGACTGAGTGCTACGGCTCTGCTAGGGCCACATTCTCTCCACTGACTGCCCGACTATGGTGCTCCCGAGTAGGGGGCCCAATAGCCCCATCCCACCAACCAGATTGCCCTGCCCTCCCAAGCATGATCCAAGGAAAAGGTGTGTGCCCAGCTCAGACCCATTCTATAGCCTTTCTCCGTAAGACTCTTGAGAAAGTCTAAGCAACTTAGGGGGTGGGGGCAGAGTAACTGACAGCTGGATGCTGATCTCAGTAAGTCTTGGACGTTTATTATCCTCCTCCTGCTCAGAGCTTTAGGAAGCTAATGCTGGTACACAACCTGTCCCCTCTCACACACACGTAGGCCCAGCAGATACAGCCACAGACAGTGAATAGCAAAACCTTTATAGTTTTGTGACCCAGTGTCACCCCAATAAATTCAATAAAAAAGAAGAGATAAGTAAACAGGTTGAGAAAATGAAGGAATCTGACCAAGGTTGCACAGATAGTGAGCAGTGAAGCCAGGCGCTAATTCAGCACTAATTGGGTTTCTGGAGGGATGAATAAATGGAATTTTGGCCTTCGGTGTTCTGGATGTTGTGGAATAGTGTGAGTGTACAGTATGAACTTGAGCAAGTTCCCTTTCCCTGGGCCTTAGTTTCTTTACACTCCCTTGTATCTTGACATTTTTATCATTTCCTTTTAAGTTTTGGTGATTTTTCAAGTAAAAAATCATATGATTCTCATTGTGAAAATATTCAAACATTATAAACTAGAGGCTCGGTGCACGAATTCATGCATGGGTGGTGTCCCTCAGCCTGGCTGGCAATTGGGGCCGATTGGGGCATCTTGCCTAGTCCTGATTGGGGCCATCAGGGCTGGCCAGCTGTGGGGAGAGTCCCCAATCAGGAAGGGACCGTGGGAGGTTGGCTGTGGGAGTGCACTGATCACCAGGGGGCAGCTCCTGCATGGAGCACCTGCCCCCTGGTGGTCAATGTGCATCATAGCAACCCACCAACTGGTTCGGTTGTTTGGTCACTTGGGCTTTTATATGTAGACTAGAGGCCCAGTGCACAAAAATTTGTGTACTCGAGGGGTTCCCTCAGCCCGGCCTGTGCCCTCTCGCAGTCTGGGACCCCTCGGGGCAGGGATCCTTAAACTTTTTAAACAGGGGGCCAGTTCACTGTCCCTCAGACCGTTGGAGGGCCGGACTATAGTTAAAAAAAAACCTAAAAACAAATTCCTATACACACTGCACATATCTTATTTTGAAGTAAAAAAACAAAATGGGAACAAATACAATATTTGTATTTGCATGTGGCCTGCGGGCCGTAGTTTGAGGACCCCTGCCTCGGGGAATGACCACCTGCTGGCATAGGCCTGCTCTCTGAGGGATTGGGCCTAAGCTGGCAGTCAGACATCCCTCTGGCAGCCTGGGAGCCCTCGGGGGATGTCCACTTGCCAGTGGGGAGCAGGCTTAAGCTGCAGTTGGACATCCTTAGCGCTGCTGAGGAGGTGGAAGTGGCCCCACCACCACCACCATTGTACTGGCAGCTATCAGCCTGGCTTGTGGTTGAGCAGAGCTCCTCCTGTGAGAGCGACCTGACCACCTGAGGGCAGCTCCTGCATTGAGCATCTGTCCCCTGGTGTTCAGTGTGTGTCATAGTGACCAGTCATTCCCAGTTGTCTGCTGTTAGGACTTTCCCAGGAAAAGAGCAGGGATGGCGGGAGCTCCCAGCACGGGAGGTGATATTGTAGATCCTCCCTCCTTCCTTTGGAGACTCTCACAGTAATAATGCCCAAGTCTTCGCCAATGCACCGGACACTGCCCAGAGGTTTCTGTCATGCTCACACTGAAACATCTTGGTTGGGTTAATTTGCATATAGTCACTCTGATTGGCTGGTGGGCGTGGCTTAAGGCCTAGCGAAGGTATGGTCAATTTGCACGTTTGTTTTTTATTAGTATAGATATAGATATATAGATTAACTTTACCTTTATTTTATTTTTTTTAAATATTTTATTGATTTTTTTACGGAGAGGAAGGGAGAGGGATAGAGAGCTAGAAACATCGATGAGAGAGAAACATCAATCAGCTAGCTGCCTCTTGCACATTCCAAACTGGGGATGTGCCCGCAACCAAGGTACATGCCCTTGACCGGAATCGAACCTGGGACCTTTCAGTCCGCAGGCCAACACTCTATCCACTGAGCCAAACTGGTTAGGGCTAACTTTACCTTTAATGGGTTTGTTTCTGGTAGCCCTTTATATGTATCTGTATTTAGTATTATTTTTCATAAATGTGAACATACTGTATTTTTCTACAATTTGTTTTATTCACTTATATACTTCTCACATTAGTACTTATAGATCCTTCATTTTTAAAAACAATTGCATAGTATTTTCTAGAATGACAATTCCATACTTTATTCAACCATACTCCTATTAATGGTCATTTAAGGTGTTTTCAACTCCGCCCCACAAAAAAGGCTGTACTTAAAAGCTTTGTCCATGCCTCTTTTGGAAATTGTTTCTGAAGGATACATTGTTTTGATTTATCTATGTGTAAGGCTATTATGATTACAGAGCTTTTAAAATAATTATTTAAAGCTCTAGTAGAGCACTTAGCAATTCTCCCATTGTTAAATCACATATTGATAAATATGCTATTATGAATGTTACGGCCCTGAATTCTAAGTACACATTCTTGAAACCAAATCATATGTGTAAGCCCAGTAATATTGGAATATTCCTTACATATAATATTTATAGAGGTGAATCACATATAATTTGTAATTCCTAAGTTATTGACTATTAGTGATTTCACATTTTAGTAAACTGATATTCATTTCTGTAACACTAGAGGCCTGATGCACAAATTCGTGTACAGGTGGGGGTGCCTCAGCCTGGCCAGCGGCTGGGGCCAATTGGGGCCAATTGGGGCCGTCTCACCCAGTTTGATTGGGCTGGCTGGCCAACCTCCCG